TCTGGAATTAGTAGTTGCCCAGCACCTAGAATTTGACTTCCGAGGTTCAGCAATGGCCAGAATCCCTGGTCCCTTTATCCCTTCCAGGGAAAACACTTGTTCATTAAGCACATTTTTTGTACAACCAACTTCTCAAATGCTTTTTATTTCATTACCTGGCAAAAAGCTAGCAGAATATCTCACTAGTGATCAAACTGGTAAGGAAACCAGGCATCAAAGGATAGCACAACTGACCATCAAAGCACAGATCTTCTAGGATTGTCCAACCTGGGTACTCCTCATCTCCTATGAACCTCTCACACCCCACAACATCTTGAGTAAACAACCTTGTACTTTTCTGAGTGATAGTTTCCAGGAGCTAAAGCCTTCCGAGGTAACCTATGGTATCCTTTGATGTCTATCAGCATCCAACACTAGTTTAATCAGTTTACACAGAGAGGACTATTACTGCAAACCACTCTAAACCACCTCACCCTTGTAGACATCTTCCACATGGACACTATGCTCCTGCAGCAGCCTTTCCAAAAACTTATGTACCAGATGGCTTAGATCAGAGGTTCTCAACCTTGGGTTCCCAAATATTTTTGGATTACAACTCCCAGAAGTCCTGGCTACTACAGCTGGTGGTGAAGGCTTCTGGGAGTTGCAGTCCAACAACATCTGAGGACCAAAGATTGGGAGCCACTGGATTAAACTAACATTCCATTCATCCGTCAGTGGCTTTGTTGGCTGGGGATGAAAAGGTTACAGTCCAGTGCATCTGGATGGCAACAGGCTGAGGATATGTGCTCTACAGAATTACCTGTTTGGACTTGTGTGTGCACACACGCACATACACGCACGTGCACAAATGCACACACACACACACGGGCACACACGCACACCCACCCACACACCACCACCACCACCACAAGTGGCCTTCATATTTTACAAAAAAAGGAACTTCAACCCAGCTGCCTGTGATGACCACATACCCAACTATTTTTTCTAATTCCAAGTCTTACAGGTCTTTTGATACTCTGTGCCTGAGAAATGAAACAAGCAAGAGAAGCCCATGTCTATTTCCCATGACAAACTACAAAACAAAAGCCAGCTAACTGAACTGAGGAATGCCGGAGTTAAAATAAACAATCTTTTATCTCTTAAGAGAGCTGTGTCCAAGCGCTGTGTTTGTGTTTAGTTAACTTATGAAAAAAGGGAACCAGCTTATGGGATTTTTCCCTGCTTGATGTCTCTTTACGAATGATAGTGAGCACAACAGGGTATCCTGTAGACCATCTTGACTGCTGCCATTGGTGTTGTCAACATTCAGGCTGCCCTTTGCTATGTAAAGCTTGGCATATATTTTCCTGCTGTCATTGTGGGCACAAAATTGGGCAGCAATAGCTGGTCATTTCCTGATGTTTTGAATCATGGATATAGAAGCATAGTATCCCACATTCATAATCAGATTTTTCTTTTAAGAATTGAATTACCTCATGGGTTGGATAGAAGGATTCCAAGCGGTTGTCTGACTATCCTAGATGGAACCAGAAAGATTAACAGTAACATGTTGCCTAACTCTTAAATGTATTGAATCTTGTTCTTCCTTCCCAGAGTAAAAATGAGACCTGCCCATAATAAGCAATGGAGAGATTCTGGATTTTACCATAACTCTAATTGGACTGAATGTACTTCCCTTCCGAAGCAGAAGCTGCAGCAAGAGGGAGAGGATGTGTGTGTGTGTGTGTGTGTGTGTGTGTGTGTGTGTGTGTGTGTGTGTGAGAGAGAGAGAGAGAGAGAGAGAGAGAGAGAGAGTGAGTGAGTGAATGAATGAATGAATGAATGAGTGAGTGAGTGAGTGAGTGAAGTGTGGCATATTTGCAGCAATAGGTTTGCTAATCTTTTCTTAATTCTGAGTTGAGCTACTTACAATTCCTTTTTCTATGGGAGCAGAAAACTAGTTTGTGATCTGCTGGGTGCCAAGCGATTTGGTGTGCATACTTATCTCACATGGTATTAGCAGGCCCACAGAGCCCCTGCAGGGTTAGACAACTGGGCTGTTCAGATATTATCACTCACCATTTTCTACGCTGTCTAGCGAAGGTGGCAGTCAAAAAGCAACTGGAGGGCTGCAAGTGGCTGACTCTTCTCTTACCATAGTTCAATGTGGTTCATCTCAGAAGGGCAACTGTCATCTGAACTGTGGGCTTTAGTTCATGCCAAAGAAATGGAAACTTTTTAGCTACTCCTTTTTGGTAGCAGTGCTGTGGATGTTTTTAGACTCTCTCCCAGTTTAATGCTTTTTTGACACTATGGACCTCATAGGCAGGCTTCAGTTTTTCCCTGGCAAAAGACACCACAGGCCAAATGGCACACTTTGGGATGCCATGCAATGAAATTTATGTGTTCTACAACTGGAAGATTCATGGCGTTGTCAGAGACTGAGGCAATCACATAAAATGGCAGCTGATGACTCCTGCCATTCATTTTGCCTATTTATAACTTGCCACCTTTGGGTTTGACACTGTGAAAAGCATGGATGACTGAGGGATAGTAGATGTGTGGCCTTCTAGTAAATGAGACCCCTGTGACTATTAAATCATTAGTAGTTCTTTTCCTGATCTATTTTGCACATACATTGTTCTTCAACTATATAATGAAAGCCATGGGACATCTTGTGCACAGCCCCTCAATTCACTTCCCAGCCATTATTACACTGTTCTGAAGGTTCCAGGCTATTTCTAGAACTTTCTCATGTGTGACAGCTGTTTTTTCAACAATTCCAGCATAGCATATGAAAGTAATCACAAACATTTTCCAACCTATGTCTGTTGCTCTGAAAAGATATTTCCTGCTGCTAATATTTTGTAGGCCATACTAACCTATTAACATGCTACTCTTTCGCTTGAAGATGCTGAAATATATGTTTATGGCACTTGTTTCTCAATAATATCGTCATTTGGGTGGCAATTAGTCTACAGTATATTAATCCATCCAACATAAAGGTATAGTGAACTCAGAGCTCCGTTCCCAAAGGAGGAAACAGTTAAATTTCAGTGCTTTCTCTCTGATATAGTGCACCCCATGTAGTGCATTAATGGCAAACAACTCTGTAACACTAATGTAAGCAGTTACTGGGAAATGTTCTTATACAGTACTATATTATGGTAAGATTGTACTCTCTGTAAAATAAATCCCTTTGGCTTCCCTCCAGAAATAGTAGGGCATGGCTGAATCTGCTCAATCAGCAGTTGTGTCCCACAATAAATCAGAACTAACATAAATCTGGGCTTTGTTTACTGAGGCTGCTTCTACCTTAGCATATTTCCAGAACAGTAAGTCTGAATGAGCTTTAAGGTTACTTCCGCATCAACCCAACAAAGGTGTGCAGAATGTACAAACAATGTAAGATCATAGTAACATACAGGACTCCTCATTGGGTGTTCTTGTCCAACCCATCCCAGTTAGT